TAATGACAATTTGACTTCTTCATTTCCTATCTTTATTCCTTTTATTTCTTTCTCTTGTTTAATTGCTGTGGCTAATGTTTCCAAAACTATATTGAATAGGAGTGGTGATAGTGGACATCCTTGTCTTGTTTCTGATTTAGTGTGAAGGATTTCAGTTTTTGACCATTTAGTATGATACTGGCTGTTGGTTTTTCATAGATGACTTTTATCAGGTTGAGGTAGAGAGCATCTATTCCAGTTTTTTTTAGGGTTTTTATCATAAATGCATGCTGTATTTTGTCAAATGCTTTTTCTGCATCTATTGAGATTATAATATGGTTTTTGTCCTTGGCTCTATTAATATAGTGTATTGCATTTATTGATTTGTGTATGTTGAACCATCCCTGCATCTCTGGGAGGAATCCCACTTAGTCAGGGTGTATGTGATCTTCTTGATGATCTTCTGCATTCTATCTGCCAGTATCTCTTTGAGGATTTTTGCATCTGTGTTCATTAGTGAGATTAGCCTATTGTTCTCTTTTATGGTTGGGTCTTTCTCTACTTTGGGGATCAAGGTGATGCTTGCTTCCAGGAATGAATTTGGGAGTATTGCTTCCCTTTCAATTTCATTGAAGAGTTTAAACAGTAGTGGCAGTAGTTCCTCTCTAAATGTCTTATACAATTCAGCAATGATGCCATCAGGACTCGGGCTTTTCTTAGTTGGTAAGTTTTTTATTAGGTTTTCAATTTCATTGATTGATATTGGGTTGTTTAGAATTTTTAGGTCTTCTTCATTCAACTTTGGTAGTTCATACATACCTAGGAATCTGTCCATTTCTTCTGTGTTGTCCATCTTATTGGCATATAGGTTCTTGAAGTAGGTATGGATGATCCTCTGGATTTCAACTGGTTCTGTTGTAATTTCACCCTTTTCATTCCTAATTGCATGGATTTGGGTCTTTTCTTTCCTTTGTTTGATAAGGTTGGCTAAGGGTTTGTCGATTTTGTTTATTTTTTAGAAGAACCAACTCTTTGTTTCATTGATTTTTTGTATTATTCTCTTCATCTCCATTGCATTGATTTCTGCTCTGATCTTTATAATTTCCTCCCTTGTATGAGCTTTGGCTTTGTCCTGGTCTTCTTTTTCTAGAAGCTTGAGGTTCAGCATCAGGTTGTTTAATTGAGCTCATTCTGTTTTCCCAATATGAGTATTCACTGCTATGAATTTCCCTCTTAAGACTGCTTTTTTTGTGTCCCATAGATTCCTGTATGTTGTACTGGCATTATCATTTACTTGTAGAAACTGTCTGATTTCTTCTTTAATTTCCTCTGTGACCCATTGGTTATTCAGA